TAAGGCTTTTAGCTAGAAAAAGCACAGGAATAAAAAGAATAGATTAGTTAATAATTAATACACAAATTCTCCTTTACTCTGCCTCATAATTACCTTTGAAACGACCATATTGAACGATAGCCGTAGATATCAGCACAGGATTTAAATCAACTGATAAAATTAGTCAAATCGCCCTCTCCCACCCACCGTCACAGCTCACAAATTTCCCCAAATCCACAAAACTTCAACCCACCTGTGACAGTACCAATTTAGCCGAAAATTGGTATATGGACAGTTCTCCCTGAGAAACACATTTTTTATTAGGTCAATCTGCATCAATCCTCCCTGATAACAAATCTGTTTAGAGTTAAAATTTCACTAATAAAATATTCATGTACAGTAGATCGCCAATTTCTTTTTTGCATTAATATAGTTTTTAGGATTTTTAAAATATTCTCTAGTTATCAGCTTTAAAAACTAGGTATTCTGAATCGATGTTAGAGTCATTAGAATTTCTTTTCGTAAAACTTTTCGTGTTGCATTTCTTTTGTGAGCCACAGTAGATCTCAGAAGTCTGTTAAATGTACTTGTAGCGGATTCAATAATTTCTTTAGGTATTAACACTTCTTGATATTTCTCTTTGCAGCAGTACAAATTGCAAATAATTCAGTATTAGATGAATGCTTAGTGAATTATTGGTAAGATATATAGATTAAGTTGCAGTTGGGTGTAAATGAAATATTGCTAGCATTTATTTTAATTACTTTACTAACATTAACATAAGTTTTTCTAACCACCTAAATCTCAGTTTTTTGATTTACACCTCTAAACTATATAAGAAAATTTTTCTATATCGATATCTGCTGACCGGTAAGCCCAAAAAGACAATTTTAGAAAATGCTCATTTTACCTCGTTTATAAATTTTGTAATAATTTGTTTGGAATTATGTAACGGTTTCAACACAACTTATTTTCTCCGATTCATTTTATCACGATCCCATTTTTAAACTTCTCCGTGCTTTATAAATCCTCCTTTTGTAAAATATTCAACAATGGTTGTCCTTTTATAAGTGATTCATTCAAAAATAGATATTTTAATTCTTTATTTGGATTGTCAGCATTTTTATTCTCGCTAGACCATTCAAAGTTCAATTCGTTTGTGATAAAAGAAAAGTACATGTATTGTGATCTAAACACTCAAATTCTGTAAATTCTGTGTGACACAAATTTCTTTGCATGTACATAGTTGGTATTAATTGATCTTTAATTTTTTCACGGCAACGTTTTTTTCAATTCATAATGATGATTATACAAAATGGATTGCGTAACACATTCGGTTTCTTAAAGACATTGAGGTTCTGCCAAGTTCAATCATCCCTAAAAATTCATCAGTTCTCAACTATGCCTGTTCCAAAAACCCATTACGAAATCGAACGAAAATTTACCTTTGCCCAGCCTGACGTTTCTATCCTTGAAACCAACACTGAACCTAGAAATTCATGTCATTGAGACACCTTTTTGATAAAAATTTACAGATATATATTATGATGACAAGGAACACAATTACCCATTGACAACCATGACATTTGGCTTCGTCAGCGTGATGAGATATGAGAATGCAAATGTTCCATGAACCCGGCCGCGTCAATGGATGTATATCTTGAACTTGTAAATTTGTCAGATATTGCTGAATTTATTCAGCAAAATTTAGTAGGGAGTGATTCAATTCCGGTGATACCAGATGAAGGTGCAAAACAGCTCAAAGGCTGGTTACTTCAATAATATAACTTATTCGTGTTTTGTACGATAACCGCGACAAAGAGAAAGTATCTGGTGGACGACCAGTTTACCTTAGTGTTGGAGCATGCGGACTTTGGACATTCTATGGAAGGGTTAGAGATTACAGTTAACAAAGAAAGTGAGATTCCGCAAGCTGAATTGAAGATCGCGCAGTTTATGAATAAGCATGAGTGGTTTTTTGAGACTAAGGGGGTTGTATTTGGAAAATTGTCGGCGTATATATCGAAGTTTAATCGACACCAGTGGGAATTCATGGAACGATCCGGGATTTTAAAACAAAAATTGTTTCCTGAAAGACTGGAGGATGTCGTCAGGAGAAACGAAATGGAGAAGGCCAAATCTTTGTAAATTGCGCGAGATCATACTCAGCGCAGGGATATGATTCTATGTGTTTCAACTATGCTTATTCACAAATTTGACCATAAATAAAAATGAATAGTGATTTTTTTAATTTTTGACATGTTTTTTTATTGTAAGTTCAATTTTAACAATAAATTCGTGCTATAAAAAACACTCGCGCGCGCATATATATTTGTAAATTGAAATAAAGCTTTTACAATGAGATTTCACCAATCTAATTTTGAAGTTCCGCCGCAACCTTGAACGGGCGATTTTGACCACTCATACACACCTGACCTCCCATGGAACGCAGCTTGATCCCAGCCAGCTTGATCAAGCGCAACTTGAACATCGACCTCTAGCAGTGACTGACTGGGTGTTTTGTTATTTTTGGTGCAGTTTAGGAAACAGAGATGTTCATCAAGGATTAAATATGAATCTTTCATCAATTTATTTGATTCGGGAACGATGCATTTTTGCTCGCGATGGCGATCTACAAATGACTCAAATTCGGTATCGGAAATTACGAACTCTTGCGCATCGCGTAACGTATTTTCCCCACCGTTCTCATTCTCCAAAATTAAAACCTGGAAACATTTCCACCTAAACGGCCGTAACAACGAAATCTCGGAATTCATATCTTCTTGCCAGTTGCAACGGTTGACGACCGTATTCAATTTAAACTTGATATTAAACTCACGACACCATGCAGCCACCTGCTGCAATTGTTCAATATGCCGTCCCTTCCCGCGGCCAATTTTGATATTGGCTTCTTCCTTAAAAGAGTCACAAGATATCGCGAGAATATCCAAATTATTTTTATGTTGTTTTAGGAACCGCTTTTTGATTTTGCTTCCATTGCTAACGATAGACACAGATTCGAGACATAATTCTTGTTTGGAAAACTCTAAGAGTTTCCCTAGATACGTCGGAAACATGAATGGTTCACCTCCTGAAAAGTTTAATTTTCGCATGCCAGCTTCCTTGAGTTTTCTGAGCGCTCGTTTCGAGTCCTCGAGAGTAGGCATATCGGAAGTCTTTGCTGTGTGGAAACAAAACTTGCATTCATAGTTGCAGATGCGTGTAAAGTGGAAATTGACGGAGATGGGTACTTTTTTGGTTTTTCTCGACCAGAAATTTCGAGGGAAAATCTTGTAAAATTTGTAGATAATGTATATGAGAACAAGTGATAAGCAATGTCCGAGAAACATTGCGGGTTTTAGGAGAGTGATTACTGTGTCATTGCCCTTTAAATTAAAAAAATATGTTTGTTCAAGCCGATCATTTTGCTTTATCACGTCATAGATATAATGTTTCATTTAGAGAAAAATACTGGGAGCTATCTAAAGCCTGTTCCATCATGTGATCAATCCCTTAAATTTTTCTGCGCATCCGATTAATGATTGTACGGTCAGAGTCAGAGATTATATGAAATTGCCATCTCGACGTTTTATATTTAATATTCCAAGACAGATTAGGCATTGTAATCTTTATATCTTGTATATCTTGCGTCGAATATGTTTTACCGGGTTATTCAAAATTTGTGCACTCCTATTGGCCACATGATGGACCAGGCTTTAGCGTACTCCTTATTATGAAGGATGATACTTGATGATACATTCATAAATGTAATTGCTGGCTTAAAAAATTTTTTACCACGCCTTTTCACATAGAAAATGTTCTCATCGAAAAAGCGTATTTTTTGTCATCATATAACGATGATATATGACGATGACGATAATTGTTGGCTGAAAACTTTTTATGAAAATAGAAAATGTTCTCATCGAATAAGTTTTTTATTTTAAGATGGATAAATCCGGCTAACAGGATTTTTATAACAAATGACTTCTGCCGTCGCTAAAGGAAGAAAGTTCGAAAGGAGCGGGTGCATACAGGGTGAGTGTCTCTCTCATTGAATTATTTGTCGAGCCATGTCATTGATCTCTGGACATTGATGAAAGTACAACGGTCGAATTCTCCGGCAAGTTCTTTTTTTGATAAAGTCTCAAAGAGGATTGAGATTACTAAGGTGTTGTCTGAAAAAGTGATAATAATTCTGATGAATTCTAAAAAGAAGAGATTTTCTTTTAAATATGGAGTATTTTCTGACCTTAACATACTATTATAATTTCATCAAACATCATGAAGTTTAGCAAACATATTTATTCTATATCGTATAATTAACTAGTATTTCAGAATTAATCAGAGAATTTATAAAAAATTCAGACGTATAACAATTTATCATATTCTTTCATGAAGTAAAACTCATTATAATAAAGATATCAAAGCAAGAAAATAATCTTCAAAAATAGCTTATTTGAGAGAAAAATATACAACTTTATATTAAAATGAGATATTCACATATCAAGAATGTATTACGTTTGTTGTCTACCATGAATAAATTACATTTTCATAAATAAAATAGTCAGTTTTATATTGTTAATTTTTTGTATTTTTGAGATTCCTTGCGCTATATATATACATACATGTAAGTGACTACAAATAAATTGAAAATAAAATTTATTTTTTTATTAAAGTTAATGAAATCACCTTATTACAGCATAGGGAAAGTTATTTCAATCGTTTTATCCTGAGCTTCACATAATTATCGTAAGGTTGATCGAATTTCATCTACAAGAAATTAACAACTCAATTAATTTAACTCATTTCATCATAATTCTTTCTTGCATGACTTCAATTGAAGTCGAATCAACATCCATCTGATTGATTTTTTCGCATCCATTTTCTTGATTCTCATTTATTAGTTTTTCCCATTACTTTGCGACAAAGATTTCAACAGTCTCCAACAAACTTTTACAGCCATCAGAATATAGCGTACCCACTTCTTTATCTATTTTGGACTTTGATGTTTTGGCGGCAGCAGCAGCTTTTTTATTTCGCATTTTTCTTATTTGAAAAAGCGCGTGTATAGAAGCAACCCCTTTTTATCGTTGATTATTTCAATTAAATGTCGCATATCGATATACGAGTAAGACTGATTATGAACCATGAACACTGATATAATCACGTGTATTATTATTGATACATGTAAATACTTTTCATAATTTACCGAAGTTCAATTATACGAAATATTCATACAGCAACTTGACACTTGGAATTTTGAAAACTATCATATGCGCTCATCAAGGGAAATTTGGATACCAGTTAAGCTCTTGGCAAATTTTAAAATTACCCGTATTAAAAATTAACGAAGATTTTATTTAAACAAATGAAATCTTCTATTTACGCGTGATCCGATATACGAAAAATAAAATTCAAAGATGCATGATTATTATTATTATCGCTTTTGTCGCTATGATTTCAAGATTGCTGTGGTAATGGGAGGCTTGCATTTGCTAATATAATAAATTCATATCCATTAGATTTTGATGAAAGCAAACCAAGTTATACTAACTTTCTTTTCCTTATTGCGACGAGTATCTCGATTCTTTGTATAACAATTCGCTATCTAAAAACATTGGAATACAATGTTTCTTCAAATTACAATCTGCGGTTTATTTGATATGAAAAGATAATTAAAAAAAATACCAATTCGGGCAAAAAATCGGAAAATGAACCAGAAAACTCTATTAAATACTTGGTCTATTAATAAAGCGGTTTAAGATTAAAGGGAGGAATAAATAATATTATTATTAAGACATCGGTTTTTATGTCACGTATAGACGCGAAGTTTACACATGCAGTTACACGTCATGCATGTAACTTCACGGTCTCACACACACGCGGAAATCTCAGGGGCACACCAAAGGCTATTAAGAGATATGCAAAGCAGCGAAACAGGGTTTGACAACCATTTCATCCCATAGATCACAAGAGAGCAGATAACACGCAATTGGGCAATTCATCTACCTTGCAGTAAGGATATCCCTTTGATATGTAATATCACTGATCCATATAGTGTAATATAAAGTTTGTTTTCTGGTTTCATATCTTTTATTGTGTAGAAAGTAATGCTATCCTTTCTTTATAAGATAATATAAAAACTATATAATAAGAAATAAAATGGAAATATATTGGAGGTATATTGAATCTGATAATTATTTATGAATGGGGATTTAATAATAGGGTTGATAGATAGATATAATAGGGTAACACTTTTCTGATATAGAACTTCCATAAATATAAAAATAATAAAACAAATATCGGAAGTGCTCGATCTTGATTTAATATTTTACCACCACGAGCTAAAAAATATATTAAAAAATTAATCATGAGGCTGTTTCCCGCACAGGGAGCGTTTAAATCCTAACAGGCACTGATATCAATCGAAAAAAAATAATTTATTAGTAAATAAATTATATATATATGATGCTTGCACTTATCATTATACGTACATTTGGTGTTTTATTTTGGCAGCAGTGGAACCGACATCATTAGTATCGTGAAGAATTATTGTCATTTTACTTGCTTGAGACTTCATTCCAAGATTCTAATAAAAAATATATAAAGATCTCAATTGTTAAATTGTTTTCAGAAATTTGATAATTACAAGCAAAGTATAAATAAATAATAAATTACTTTGACTGCAAATTGTGCTATTTCCTTATGCCCTCATGCTGAGCGTCATAAACACCGTTGCTAGGTGTTACACTTTGCTCCGGAATGGTTATTGTTGTTGGTGCCGTCTTCACGTGTAAGACCGAAATCTATTTAATCACAAAAAAATATTGAATTAAGGAAAGCGATAAAAGAAAGAATATCAAATTAAGTTTACCTTCACTTGGAATAAACAAACTAACAATTGTAGAACCTAAATGTTTGACATACAGTATATAAAATCAATCTGAAATTCATTTTAAATGAATATAAAAATAAGTGTACATACCTGTAACAGTTGGAAGTGATATTAATTCCGAAGTAAACGTTCGACTGGTGTAAACTGCATTTGAGTGAATTTTCGAATGCTTTTTTGATGATTTCATCGTCAGAAACTCCATAATTTTTGTAGGAATGCTTTTTGGCTTCTTCGTCTTTTCAAGTTCTTTCAA